TTAGAAAAATGTATAGAGAACATTATGGAGAATATGCATACTGATGTAAGGTTCTTTTGGGCATTGCTTGACAATATTTTGTAAGTTTTTTTGGGCAAACTTGTGTGTACACTGGCCAACCATTTTGTCAAGGAAAAAAATGATAGTTCAAAATCACAGTAAGAAAATTGATGAAACTTTGTTAGCTACCTTCAAAAATGTGGGTTCCTGTTTGCTAGTTTTTACCCCACAAATGAAGCTAGTGCACTTGATATGATATTCCATATTTATATGATTGGTGTGGAGTAACAACAGCTAGGAATTCCTGATTTGAATTATTTTCAAATGTAATGTTATTGAATGATATTTTCTTCCAGAACAAGGATATGACTCACAGAAAGTCCTCAACATTGCAAATCAGAAGTTGAAGAATGAGTTCCGTATCTACCACAGCACTATTCAGGTAGAACTTTATCAGGAAACTGTGATGACCAACTGCTCTGAGTGTCAAGACTTGCAAGACTAAATTTTCAGGAGTGGATGATGACATGGTGTGAGTACTGGGCCCTTGTGTCACTTTTGGCCACTCCCATTATGGTGAAATCAGTAGAGTCAGTGGTCTTTTTCAATAGATTTGAAACTGTGCTTTATATTACCTGTTTCTGTATAATGAATTGAATTTAAAAGTCATCACACTCATAAAATTTGGTTATTTTTACAAACAGTCATTGAGTGTATATAGAATTTAAGTAAATGTCACTGATTGTAAAGGTTGAGTTCAATGAAGTCTCATCTGTTGTGATGATCCAAAATTTAAGTATTAAGTTATTTTAAAGTAGCATTGCAATGAATCACAGGATTGGCCATGGGTCAAAATCACACAATCAGTTTGTTTGTGTAACATTGCACGGTCAACCACCAAAAAATAACCTCACCCAAACACTTGGGTGTTGAGAACTGTGTAGGATTGATAAACAGTAGAACCTTGTGGTCTTGCAAATCTCTGAGCCAATCCAGAAAGCATTGAAATCTATGTTATTATTTATTCTTTTGATAACAGATTCTTCTACTAAGAAAAACAAGGCAGAAATTGAGCTAAGTTTAAGCAATCAGTTCTGATTTCAGTTTGTGTTTTGCTGGTACACTGAAAGGCTATGCAATATTTCTTTCTTTAAAAGGTGTTTTAAAATTTTGACAAATTGAACTCTTCCTCTTACAAATAATCACATATTCTGATGATTTGATACATGGATTCTCACATTGCAGCTATTCAGGCTCTTGAAGAGCAGCATGAACAATGATTGCATGTAGTAAACACTATTAGTTTTACTTTGTTGAAGAAACAAATGACTTGTACACTTTGATTTGTATTATAGCTATATGATGTTTATTTTATACTTTGATTCTCTAATATTATTTCCTACATTTTCAGTCATATAATTATAGCTATATGATGTTTATTTTATACTTTGATTCTCTGATATTATTTCCTACATTTTCAGTCATATAATCAGAACAATTGTTGATCAGTTTTTCTGATACCATGTAAATGAGTTTCTTCCCTTAACATGCTACTCCCAGTATGGAAATTTCCCAAATGCAGGGCTTTAACGCTGTGACCAGTTTGGTCACCATAATGATTAGAAAAAAAAGATTGGTGATTAAAGAGTTGAACTTAAAGCTTGAAGTATAGTGGAACGATGGGATTTTTTCCCTAGAAAATATTGAATTTTTAATTTTTTTTCAGTTCTAACTTTGAGAGGAGCTTTATGGTTTTTTTTTTAGGTACTGAATCTTAAACTTAGGGACCAGTTATTTACACAAAGTCCAACCCAAACCACAGTTTTATGCAATCAGTGTGCCTCAGGCTTTCTCTAAAAGAGGGCTAATTTGATTAAATCAATGCCCTTTCACTGTTAGCTTTTGGCCCTCTTGACTCTGTTTCAGTTAACAAATGTTCACATAAAAGATTTTGCTAAATTGAAGATTATTTAGGAGGCGGTTTTGTTAAACAGTGGCTAAACTTTTTGTGTATAATTGCCCTAAGTTTTTAGATCATGGTAATTTATTTCAGATATTGACAGAGACTATATTATATAACAAAATCGAATAAAAGAGTATAATTATCTAAAATCTGACCTAGTCTTATCTTTTTAAGTGTAACTTGTTTGTTGTTTTTGAGTTCATTTTGTTTTGTTCTCTGCATCTTTATGGACGTTCGGAACAAGTAGAAGTCATTGGAGACGCTTACTAGATTATAAGGCAAAATTTATTCATCTTAACGGACCAAACTTTGTCAATGAAACATTCCCCTTGAGACAGGTGCGGAACTTTTTCAGGGCAAGTTCGTATCTCCTTTTTCTTAACAAACCGTTGTAACGTATCCGTTCCAGTTTCCACAAAGTGACTTCATTTTTCCTCATCTTTGAATTCCGATTGTGAGGACTTCCTCACAACAAAAACATCACGAACTTACCCCTAAAACTGTTTCAAGTTTTCCTAAGTATACAGATGGTCTAACCTCGTCTAATTATTATATGACCATCGCGTGACATTTGTTGTGTGACAGGGGAGTTTGCATGTGCGCTTGCGCAGTACGAGCGCTAAATTCAAAATGGCGCATTTCAATGGATTTCCAAGACCAGGAAACAATACTTTCCGACCGCGATTTTCGTCTTTCCAAGGTCGCCCTCACTCAGATCTGGTTCATCCACCTCCTCTTATGGGTGGCCCACCTCCAAGAGTCCAATTTCCCTCTCAGGATTTCCCAACTGGCGGAGGCCTCATTCAACAGACTCGACAACCATCACAACCCCCGAGACTATTAAACCAAAACTCTTCTCGACATTTTCGAGGTTCCGAAGCTGCGCAACGATTTCCAAATTCTAAGGAAAAGCTGCACAATATACTCCAAGGAGCTCTAAAGGGAAATTCACTGTCTTTCTCAAACAAAAAAGTGGATTTCAACTTTTGGCAGTCCACCGTGAATATACCCTGGCCAAGACCAATGTCTTTTGGTGGCGAAGGTTCATCTAAGCGAGAAGCTGAAAAAAATGCAGCTGCACTTGCTTGTGTTGAATTGGAGGTAGGAAGACATATAAATGTAAAGATTTCAGGAAAGTCTGAGAACAAATTCAAAGGGTCAAGTTACTTTGAGATCGAGAAGCTGATGGAAAGGAGCTAGGAACTTCAGTACAGCCTTTGAAATCCTCCCCACTCCCGAAACTGTCTTAACTCTTAAAAAATTCTCAAACGAGAAATGACCACTCAACCTAGTCCTTCATATGACCCCACAAGCCTTAAAAAGATCTCCTTATTTCTCTGGGATGATCTGAAATGATCCTGAGGAATTTAAGACTGCAAATTAGCTCGCCCTATACAGCTTAACATTGGTAGCATATTTTCAATACTAATAAAGGGAATGAGTTTTTAAAGAAGCTGTGGTGCTGCATTGGTGGGAGAGTAATGGCAGGGTAATTAATTATTATCAACTGAATTGATAACAAAACTATCCCAACAAACTAACCTCATACACCTTAACATCAGTAGCATATTCTCAATACTAATAGAGGGGGTAAGTTTCTAAAGAAACTGTGGTGCTGTGTTGGTGGGAGAGTATAACAGGGTAAGAATAATTAACTTTTACTCTTTCTGATGATCCTGTAAAAAGAAATTAGATATCCATCATTCATGGGGGCTAAAGTGTTGTATGTGGGACTATGGATTGGGCTGTGGCTGGGTTGCATAGAGCCAAATTTATTTTGCAAGGCAACTGTTTGAGAATTAAAGCAATTAAAGCAGAGAATTACATAAAATAAGTGCACCTGGAAATAAGATATTGATTCCACATGTTTTTTTGGTTTGTTTGTTTTTTTGCAAAAATCAAAGATACAAAACTATGCATTTGATTATAGCTGGATTTGCATCTTGTCTATATGTCAATGGGGCTCAATGAACTGCAACTGGGTTTCAAAATGCCTTGTCATCTATCTATTGATCTTGACAGAGACTTGGAGTTGCAAGTGTTGGAGCGGCCAGTGTTTTAAAGAAAGAAGCCATGGAGAACAAAGATGAACCCCGCTGGATTTACATAGATGATGAGAAATTGTCTAAAGTTGAATCATTTTTGTTAAAATACTCAGTACTCAGGCAGCAACCTTATGAACCCAGAATTCAGCAGCAGATATTGCAGTGCCAGCCAGCTCAAGTAGCTGAAAAATCACTAGGACCTGTCAATGAAATAGTGTTACCTGGAAGCAGTCATGAGAGTTATTCCCAGTCTGTATCAACAAATCCAGAGGAGTTTAAGCAAGACCCTGTTATAGTCAAGGAACATGATTTTTTAAACTTTCCTGCCCAAAACACTTCTGAATCATTTATCAAAAAGAAGACACAATACAATGCTGACAGTTTTTCACCTTTGAATTCTTTTACCACATCCTCTGTAGTAAAAGATGTCTTTAGTGGTTCTCCATGGAAACCGTTATTTTCAGAGCAACACAAGGAACTCAGCCGGCAGTTGCTTCAGGAATTTTCAAACAGGCAAAATATGCTGAGGTCAAGAAATTCATGCTTTAACAATGAGACAAAGACATTGCCTGTTGCAAGTCACAGGTATATTGTGGTTTGTTAGCCTAAGATTATCCTCAGGCCATCTAGTCTTGTTCCCAGAGACTTTGTTTACTTGACCAGGGGTGGATGTTCACTCTACTGAGAAATGGTAGTGAAGGCCTTGGTCTTGTTTCCACATGTTTTTTTTTTCTCTTTTCAATGGTTTGGAAATACTCTTTCACTAAAATATTTTAGTAGGTAATGTACCTTGAAAGGAAGGTGTTGGGGTGAAATTGGCTATTCTGACAAAACATGAATTCAAGGCCCATTTCTTGTTGATGCATTTTTGGATTCACAAAACCAAGAAAGCTGCAATAATGACAGGTTGTCAATGATATTATGCATATTCAGCACTTTTCAGATTTCTATGTGGCATTTATTTAATTAAGTTGTTTTAAACCAAGAAATAAGTAATTTTTACTTATAACTTACCTTTTTCACCCCATGTTTTTAAGGGAGAATATCACTGAATTGATTGAAAGAAACCGTGTTGTTGTTATCTCTGGAGAGACAGGATGTGGTAAAACTACTCAGGTAAGTTGGTATTAATTTCAGTTTAATTTATCTTTTGCTTATTTCTTTGAAGGGTCTACTGAGACAGTGGAAAAATGTTTTGCAAATTAAACTTTGGTGAGGTAGCAAGACTCTGTCAGTTCTTCAACTAATTTGGCATTGACTTGTACTATACCAGTGCACCTGATAAGTTGCTAATATATGTTTAAAAAAGAAGAAATAGTAACTTGATCATTAACATTTTCATCCTCAAGAGTGATTAGCATCTAATTTCTCCTTGAAATATTCCCCCTGAATCATACATTAAGGTCGCAAGAATAAAGGAAATGATCCTCCATTAAAGAAGCTCTTGATTGTTAAACAAATTCTCCTTGTCAGTATGTTAGGAAATTCATAGAGAATAGAATGGAGAATATGGATACTGATGTTAGGGTGTAGAGGGTTAATTTTTCCTGTCTTTGTGACTCATTAGATTCCTCAGTTCATTCTGGATGATGCCATACAAAAAGGCAAGGGCTCAGCCTGCAACATTGTTGTTACACAGGTACAATTGATCAAAATTTTTATTATTAATAATGCAATAAATCAGTCATTTACCCTTAATTTTTTTTTTTACAGAAAAGAAAGCAGCAAGTCATTTACAAATAGTGATACTAATAATTATTTGTCCTTACCTTTTCATGCAAACTATTTGTACCCTTTGTATTATTTTAACTTGTTGATATGCGAAGCATAGGAACAAGTAATGTGGGGATTTGAGGTGCAGTTTTTGTGGTATTAACTTGGTCTTAGGAGTTTGGGAAGAGCATGCATCTTATTAGAGATAGCTGACCTAGAAGTAAGAAACCAGTGAGGAATTTGGATTGCATTAATGCTTTTTACTTTGTGAAATGGCATGGTTCCAATTTGCTTAGAAACCTGAATACCATGTGGCTTGAACAAGTTTAATTAACTATCAAAACTGTGGAAAACATTTTTTTTGGCTAAATAACTCTAAAAAAAAAAAAAGGTAGAAAGAAGCAAAATGTAGAAAAACTCATGCCTTTCAGTGTTGGGAAAAAGCAATGTGTGGTTTATTACTAACAAATCAATGCACATGTATGTCTTAGAATGGTGACATAAAACAATGCAGCAAAAATGTTAAGGGAAATGCAAAGGCACACAGGTGCTGACACATAATGTTTATTGCTCTTGTTATTTTTACAGCCACGTCGTATAGTGGCCATGTCAATTGCAGAGAGAGTGGCCTCAGAAAGGGATGAGATACTAGGAAAGAGTGTGGGTTACCAGGTATTGCCTCAGAGGACCAATATAGGTGACCTCTATTTTGAGTATTGTTTCAAATGATCATTAGCATGGACTCTTCTGCTTGTTACCTAATGACATGTTACTGAGAAGAAGATCACCTTGCATATCAAAGTGCTACAGTCAATCTATATCAATTCGATTGTGTTGGATATCAAGTTTTACAGTCAATCTGCATCTTTCTGTACATATTCCCTGCCACTTCTTTTCATTTCATGACTGAAGTAGCCAGAAGAACCTTTTTCCTTTTTTTAAGTTCAAATGTTTTTTCTTCATCAATCGTGTTTATTGTTGGTCAATGTGGCATGTTTCACTGTCAGGTTAGACTGGAGGGCAGACTGCCATCACAGAAGGGCTGTATACTGTTTTGCACCACAGGAATACTACTCAGAAGAATGCAGAGTAATGCCCTTCTTAAAGGCAAGTGATGCATTTTAAAATTTTTTTTTTATTATCAAAAAACAAATGAAGAAAATTTTACAAAAATTTTAAAAAATACATCGAAGAGTTTTTTTTTAAAAAATGCTTTACTTTTCATGTTTTATCTCCTTTGTTGTATTTCTTTGACAGGTGTCAGTCATGTCATAGTTGATGAGGTGCATGAGCGGGATATCAACACAGATTTTCTTCTGATCCTCCTTAAAGATTTGCTTGAAAAAAACCAGGACATCAAGATCATAGTGATGAGTGCAACTGTGAATTCGGAAAGATTCTCACATTATTTTCGAGGGTATCTAGTGAATTCAATTCTCTTTTTTTTGTTTAGATAGGGGTTTACATGTAAACAATGAATGAAGAATAGAGAATGACAGAAGCTCCAGACCGAACCAATATGGTGTCTTAAATTACTGAGGAGAATGCACTGCTTTTTCTACAACATTTGCTAATGATCAGATGTTCTAGTCTTCTTGGATGAATTGTAGGCCTCATCTCCTGCATCTTTTCTGTACTGGTCAGCAGGGATGTTAAAAAACTGATGTCCTTTAAGCAAAGAGTAGAGAACATGGCTCCCAGTGTTGACTGGTGTGACTGGGCAAAATTTTCTGTCATGAAAATTGTGAACTGCTTAATGCAGTCTGATGTAAGGCATATTAGAGCATAATGCATTATATGAAAACTGCATCACCATCAGTTGGCACAGAATGTTTAACACAGGCTTTGGTTTTTTTTATTATTATTTCGTTATTTATTAATTTATATTCAATTACTTATTTTTTATAAATAGCTGTCCCAGTCTGGTCATTCCAGGATTCACTCATGATGTGACAGAATACTTTTTGTCAGAGGTCTATGAATTCCTGAGCAGAACACCTTTATCCAAACCTGCAACTGTCAAGAGCAAACGGTTCAAGCCAGATTGCAGTTCTTCACAGGTTTTTGTCCAAAATGTAGTCATAATTATATTACTTTGTAAGCTTTAATGTTTGTTCAGTTCCTCAGTGAACCCAGTTCAAAAATTGTTACCCCAATATTAACAACTATTTGAAGGAAACACAAAATTAATATAGAAGTGAAATTCTGTTAAATTGAAATACTCTGTTAACCTAAACTAGTGTCAAATTTCGAAAGTTGTGTCTGAACTTTAAACAAATAAAAGTTATAATTGCCTTTCATACATGTATGCTTGAGTTAGCCAAAATAAACTCACTTTTCTGTCGCATTAATTTTAAAGAAGAACTGTCCAGTGGGCCTCCAGTGACTCAATTTCTACTTTCCTCTGTTCTGCCTGGGTTTCATTTCAAAGCCTGGTGTCACAAATGGGTAGTGTTTGCTGGTAGTTCTCATCCTTGCACCAAATTTATCTCCCTGGTCCTCCAGTTCCCAATCCCCTCCTCTTGACCAAGCCCCCTCCCACCCAACCTTTCACAAAAAGAAACAACCCTTAATTTTTTTAATAAGCATGCCAGTTTCCCTAGTCAATGTTATGTTTAGTATGACTAACCATTAGTGGCCAGTCCAAGGTTTTTTAAACAGTATGAAGATAACAAACTTGGTATATAAATTGAAGTTATGCTTTTTAATGTTTTTTTTTTCTCTCAACACCCCAGCCCAGGTTTAATGAAAAATGTTGCTGTTCCAGCTAACCTTTGAGCTTTTCTTTATTCAAGGTATTACTTGTCTATGTCAACAGTTTTCTGTGTTTTTTTAAGCCTCATTTGCACAGCTGTTTCTGCATTTTGATGTGTTTACATGTGCATGTTTATATGCACATTTGTGTGAGCAAATAAATTTTACAATTGCTGAGCTTTTCTGTACATGGACTCATCAGGTTAGAGAGGTAATTAGGATAATCTCATCATCAACTTGCTATTGGAATAAATCCAATGGACTAAATTCTAATTTTCCTATTATTGTTTTTTCTTCTTCTCAATTTTCTATCAATTTGTACTAAAAATCTGTTCTTTAGATGCTGGAGCTGGGGTGTTGAGACACCTATTTTTCAAGTAATAATAATCCCATAGTATCACTGTTACTCTGGTTGTAGTGCTTTTCTTTTATGTATTTACAGTGTGGCCTGCATATTTGAATTGCTGTTATGACGTTGTTCAGTTGTTGTGATGGCAAGTTGCTGTCAAAATCAATGACTCTTTTACTTACCAGGCCAGCAAGGATGCGGACAGCCCTGAGGCAGATGCCGAGCTCGTTACTGAGACAATTCTTTTTGTGTCTAAGAACTACCCACAGGTAAGAACAACGTAAAAAGCATCATTAACAACAACTTAAACCTCAGCAGAACAGCAAACCGTACGTTGTTGCGTGATCGCGGGGGATTTAGCGAACACGATGACCGTAAGGAGGTTGGGATCGAGCGTGCCTTTTATACTTTTTCGGTAAACAGTAGAAACAAGCAAACAAAGCAAACATACCAAAGAAAAAGAAATAAAACAAAGCAAAACAAGAACAAGTCGTAGAAAGACTAGTTTTGCATGTTCAGTTATAGTAACTACTTGATCCTGTTGTATCCTTTCAATTTAATTTTCGCCTGGGTTCCACGATGACTAATTATGTCTTTTGCTGTCAATAATCATTTCCTCTTTGTAAATGAACGTCATCCTTTTTTTGACAGGGAGCCATATTATGCTTTTTGGCTGGATGGGATGAAATCACTGTTGTTCATGACATGTTGTTATCCAGGATCAGTGATGTACGTGAGAGGTTACTTTGATTTTGTTTTAAGGAAAATCGTTTTTGGTTCGTTACACGACAAGGTTAACTCTTTACAACTTAACATTAGTAGGAATATTCTCCAAACTGTTCTCCATACATTTCCTAAGGTGCTGACAAGGAGAATTTGTTTAACAATCAAGAGCTTCTGTAGTTGGTGATCATTTCCTTTATTCTCATGACCTTGGGGGATTCAGGGGTAATAATGTATAAATTAGATGCTAGTCACTCTCAAAGATTAAGTTTTGTAGGGTGTCAGGCTTGTATCTGATTATGAACAAAACTATGCAAGGGAAAACTTTCTCCTTGTTTTTCTCTTTGTTGTTCTCTTTGTTTTCTTTGGGTAAATTTCTTATGGTGTAAATTTTATTTGTATTTGTTTGAATAAATAATTCTTGTTAAATTGTTTCAGAAATCCCAGTTCCTTGTGCTACCACTCCACTCCATGCTTCCAATGTTTAATCAACGAACAGTGTTTGAAAGGTTTGTTACCTAAAGGGTAAAGAAAATCACGTCAGAGACAATGAACGCAGGGACCGCACATTTTGCTCGAGTCCTAAGTTGTATTTTTGTAAATTATAAAAACATTAAATTTTTTCTTAAAATGTCGCATCCTAAAGGGTTGTGCGATCATAGCAGACAGCTTTTTTCAACCTTCCTTTGCCTATAGTAACTTCTTTTACGTTTTTGTACAGAACTAGTGGCAGTGAAACTATCCTCAAAAGTAGTCGCGCAAAGAAGAATATTTCACAGTTTTGGGGAATCGTTTCGACTGCGATTTGATCGAAAACTTCGACGAATCAATTAGGCGTACCAGCGCTGATATGAACTATGGAAGTTTTCTACCGCGATAAACCTCCAACACTTTTTAACTTCAATACAATCTATTATTTAATTTAGGTGGCGAGTTTAGCAATTTAGGGGAATTGACTCAAAGTTATACTTGGCACTGATATCAGGGCGTGCTTTGGTCAAGTTTTTCTGGGTTCTCACTGATCAGTATCAATTTAAACTAACTACATGACTAAGTTCGCCTTGTTCGTTGAATCCTAGAATTTTTTCACACGCGTAAGTTATGTTTATCATAGTTATTTAAAAAATATATTACTAACCTTGTTTCATAACTTAAAACAATCATAAACTAAAACCAAGAAAAACGTCGGACAAAATTAATGTTGAATTAGCCCTCTTTACATTCTTTTAAAGGTTTGTTTTTCTTCCCAGACCCCCTGTTGGAGTACGCAAGATTGTATTAGCGACCAACATAGCAGAAACTTCGATAACTGTTGATGACATAGTCTACGTTATAAATGCTGGCAATCACAAGGAAAAAATATATGATACAGGAAAGAAGGTGAATCTAATTATCAGTAAGAATAAACCATATTTCCACCAACCGATACCGCTCGTCAAGGGCACTCGCCAAGACGAGATTTTTTCGCGCTATAGACATGGGCAAAATAGACTGGTCAACAACGTTTAAGTTATATTTAGACTCAATGAACCTGATTTTCCAAAAATTAAGTAACCTTTATCTCGTTTGTTTCTTCGATGTTTTTGTAGCCTGTTCCAGGAGTTTAGTTTGTAAAACAGAACAGGACTGTAAACGACGCGATAGTAGCAGGGAGTGAAAAAACGACAAACCTTGCTCGGTTTTTTGCTCACCTGCTACTAACGCTCCGTTTACAATCGCGGTCCGGTTTACGAACTGAATGCCTGGAACAGGCAAACGTTTTTCTGAGTAAATAAAAGCGGAAAGGCAGCATGGGTTTTTCGTGTATGCCAAATTCACAACATGAAAGTGACTGCTTTTAGTTCCTCTTGCGTCTGTGTGGATGTTTCCTAATAATAATCGATAGGAATCTCTTTTAGACTGTTTTCGATGAAATGTCGTTAAACCAAAACCAGAGAAATCACAACAACCAATGAGAAGAAAGGAAAATATCACAAGGAGCCAATGAGGATTGAAAGCACAGTATGTAAATTTCTTGAAGGGCGGGAAAATGCGAGTGGCTAAGTCGCAAATTCTTCAGAAAATTCATCAGCGCCACGTCACAAGAAAAGTATAAAGCTCAATAATAACGATTGTTGTTTGACTTCAACTGTTATTTGTTAGGTGTCCTGTTTGATGACGCACTGGACATCTCAGGCCAGTGTGGTTCAGAGGCGAGGCAGGGCTGGTCGTTGTCAACCTGGTTTGTGCTTCAACCTCTTTACAAGACAACGTTTTGAACATATGGGTATGTGTCTGTATCACAACAAGGATCGATTTTACTTTATTTTGAAGGGTGAAACTCAGAAAATTGTGAACTCTTTGTTTTGATTCTGATGAGTCTGTTTGTGCTTCAGCAAAACTACATTCAACGATAGCGTAAATTGACGTGCGGCTGGTGCTTAGAGCGTGGTTTGTTTTCCAAGGGACTTCCCTGTTTTAAAGTTCCGAATTTGATTCACTGGTGACTTTACAAACAAACTCTGATCTGTTAGTGATTTTTCGCCCATTGTTTTGTTTATTTTTGTCACTTTTCACAGCCCCGTACCAGTCACCTGAAATGCAAAGAGTTTCCCTCGAGGAGATTGTCCTTCAAACAAAGGTACGATAAGAAGTATGCTTTCAGTTGGTAGTCGTTAAATCATTTTCCAAGGGAACACTAAGCTCTTTGCGTAAATATTGTAAAGATAATATATTCTGAATAACGTACGCAGATCCAATCTATAGACGAATCCTACTCCGTGCGGCAATTTTTGTCCAAGGCCTTGGATCCTCCGTCGCCATTTGCTGGTAAAATGATGTTTCTTTTCCTATATCAGTAAAGAGATCGTGCTCTTTTCGATTCAATCTAAGCTTAATGTAAATTTTAATGGAGAACTCCTCATGTACAACTGAACAGTGCAACTGCGCTGTTGCTAAGGTTTTGAGCGGCCTAACCAAATTGCTTGTGTCTCAAATTACAGTTCACAATGCAATAACACAGTTAGAAGAGATTGGAGCAATGGATACCAAGGTACGTTGAACTTTTAAGTACAGGTAACAACATGATTTCGAATGCAATTTGGTGCTAATAAGTACGAGTAAAATTTTCAAAGACAAGTTTAGGAAAATTTACAAGTGCTTAGTTACACCAAATTGCACGAGACGAGTCAAGTTGTTATTAATTTGCATGAGAAACGCATCACAGAAAGTCAAGACGGACAAAATTTTGGCAGCGCGCGTGTGCTATTTGTAATTTGCACTTGTGTTACAACTTTGCACCTGTGTTACATGAAAAATGCTCTCGTTTTCAGCCAATCAGGCGCGCGTAATTTAAATTACTACAACAGTAACACCGGTGCTATGTAAAATGTTTTTGGTTCTAATTTGTTAGTATATCAGAAGTGAATGGCAAATTGTTGAGATTTCAGTTTATTACTACAATGAAGTTGATCAGTGAACGTATAATGAGCACGTACAGTTTAATGAATGATGAAAGGAACAAGAACCTTTTTATTTGGTTTAATAGCAGGGGCTCGAGCTACTAATTAAGAAAGTGTGGCAGATTGTAATGTTAGCTTCGTTTCAGGGAAGGATCGAAAGATGTCTTAAAACACCAAAGATATTTTCAGAAAACTAATATCACTTCTCATTTTTACGACAGGAGCAATTGACGCCGCTTGGAAGACACATGGCGCATTTACCCGTCGAACCGCGAATAGCGAAAATGATTATATACGGTGCTATTTTCAGGCGAGTGGTAATCTGCACGGGGAAAGTGCCTGAGTGGTTCGGCTTTGTTTATACCTTTGTCTTAGACGCTCCACTTGCCGAGACTCTTTGCTCGTAAGAGCTCAGTCTTTTAAAAGTAATTCTAAAAAAGTGACTGAATCAGTCAACAATGCTCTTCAGTTTATAGAAAGAGTTTCAGGTTCAACCTGCGCAGCTGAAGTTTCATTAATGTTTGTCGACGCAACACTGTAGTCAGTAACCCTTGACACCCTTAGATATTCTCATGCATATTCTTTATACATTTCCTAAGGTTCTGGAAAGGAGAATCTCTTTAACAGTCGAGAGCCTCTTTAGTTGACGATCATTTCCCTTATTCTCGTGACATCAATATCGTTTAGTTTTCTTGTTCTCGCGTAGGTGCTTAGATCCGGTGTTGACCATTGCAGCGGGCCTCAATTATAAAGATCCATTTGTATCGCCGCTCAACTTACGAGAGCAGGCTGATCAGGTAAGATACTAGCTTTCTAGTTTCATCAGTTTCACATAAACTTCAAGACCAGAAAATGACTTATAGTGATTATGGGAATTTGCAAGGAAATGCTTAGCGGCAGGAGGGGAGAATAAACAATTAGATCTTAGGGGTTGAAAGATTTTAATTATATCTCAGACTGTTAGAAGTCTTCACTTCTTAACATGCCGTGGCACGCTAAGATCGTACAATGCAACATCGACACTCCTCTACGGTGAGGAAAGATTCTTATCGTTTGATTTCTTGTCGCAGTCTCGCAAAAACTTTGCCGGCGACAGCAAAAGTGACCACGTGGCACTGCTGAATGCTTATAATGGTTGGTTAGAGGCCTTGAGTCGATCCCAAGGGAAACAATTTGTTCAACAACGATTTCTTCACTGGGGCACTCTCAATATGATACGCGGTAGGTACCAGGTATCCACGTTTTGTACAAACCTTCTAAACGTTCCTTCGTCTAGTTTACTCATGAAAATGTCGATTACTCCCTTGTAGTTTCCCAAGGAAAGACATATCTTTCTCCCCCTCCTGGTAGAAAAACCATGGCAATAAGCTTTGCGTGAAAGTTTCTGTTCCAAATTGAGATAACTGGGATTGTTTTGTGCCTGAAATGTTTTGTGTTTTCCTCTAAGCTCCGCTAAAGGTATGAAATTTAGGTGGTAATCAAGCGTTGGAGTTTCTCTGGCATCTTTGGCTGATCGTAAAGCGGTTACAGGGGAAGAGTGGGACATAGAAATTCTGAAACTACAAGCTCTGTGGACATATCATTTCAAAACTCTCTCTATTCTTTTTTATTTCATTTGACTCCCGAGATCGGATTAGATTTGCCTCTTCCTTAAGACCTTACATCTCTTTGTAGGAAAATGAGTAAAGAGAGTTTTAGAAGTTACGTGAGAGTCACGGTTGGATAGTTTAACGGTTAGGCCTTCTGTCACGATACTTCTTTTGTCTTCCTCTTGTCAATTTTATGTGTGAGAGAAAACCGAGTTTTCCTAGAGTGGAATGTTGTTGATATTCTCCTTCTAAGAATCTCATAAATCTTTCAACAAGCAGCGTGACTATTTGATCCTAAATACCTGACAGCAGCTGTATATTGACGTTATATTTTTTCCGTTTAGTCCTGTATTTTGTCAATTACATTCAGTGTGTTATCACTCATCAAAAATACACCTTTGTGTCGTATTTCAACTCATGTTATGCTCTATCGCGTGTAGCACTTGTTTTACAAAGGCATGCCTCTCCTGTTTGATTTTTTTTTGGTCATGTTAGAAAACCTGAAATGTAAAGTATATTAATTTTTCTTCATGCTTTATCAACTTATGTCACGGGCGTGGAAGGGAAAGATCTTTGATAGTCACGCGCTTGAGAGGATGAAGATCCTTATGAGTTTAGCCGGTTTGCGGTGAGATGATCCAGCGCTGAGTTGCAAATAACGCGATTATAAGTTAGGCCACTGGTAGGTTCATATGTGACTTGCGCCCCTCTTACTGCCAGCATCACCGATGTCGAAGGCGTCGTGTGAGTAAATAGAGTAAGAATGGTAGTAAATTTGAAACTCACCCTCTGTTCGTGAGTTAAAATATAAGTAAAACTGAGATTATTGTGCAAGGGTTTGATAATATCGGGTTTAACCAACACCTAAACCACGAAATACAGATTAGAAACGATATTCCAGAAGGAAAAATTTTATTCCAGTGGACAAAACGAACGATAATTTAGCGGAGAATACTCTACTTTCTTGGCACTCTTTGACGATGTCACACACATGCAGCCGTCTAATCCTGAGTGGGATTAAAGGATGATCTAGGAATTTGTAATGTAGGCCTGTCCCTGAAGTTACTTTCTGGTAAACCTCTACGCTTAAATTACCTATGAGGAAAATCTTACAGCACTGCCCTCTTGAGATAAAAGGTTGAAAGTAAGGGAACTTTTCCGAACCGGAAGATACCCGCCCTGCGTTGGTGGGCCTACCTCTTCCTCTACTTTGACCTCGTCATTTTAACACTTTGAAGCATGTAACGATGATTGTCAACTCTGACTTTGAATGGTCCACGACTGAGTCGGCTTCGTTAAGCCATTTTTAAACTTGTGTCTCGGGCAAGTTACTCAACTGATTCAGTGAATGTTGAAAGTAACCAGACGGAAATATCGTCAAGTTTTTGACTGCGTATGTCTTCAAGTTTTGCGTTCCATACTTTGACACCGGAATAACATCTCCGTTTTTGTCTAGGGTGTATTTCCTCCCCAGTAATTTGAAAATAGCTGTTCGCACTTCTTTTGAACGAAAACAGTACACAAAAGGGTTTAAAGATGAGTTAATGTAGACTATCGAAGCCGTAATTTTGTAGATGATGTTCAGCCACAGGCTGCCCCCTTCGAGCAATCTTACCACAAGTGTAGTGATAAACGGAATATAACAGGCCAGGAAAAGCACAATTACGTAGAGCATCGTCACCGCGGAGCGTTTGAAGCTATGAATATTTATACCAGGTGGCGCAAGATGTCTCTGATCGCGAGTTTTATTCTGAAGTTTTCGCACTTGATGATAAATACTGGAGTAGGCAAAGATCACAATTGCAATGCTGTTCACGTCCATTACAAAAATGGTAAGCACAAGTATGTTATACGGGGCACCTAAAAGACGTGCCATGATCAAAGCCGTACACAGAACCCAGAAAAACATGACTACGGTCAAAACTCGCGGAATTGTAACCAATGCCTTGTATCTTAAGTGAAGTTTTATTGCCAGAAGCCTCTCAACTGAAATGGCGGATATGACCAAGAAAGAAACGCCAGCGCATACCCAAGCTAAAGATCCTGTTGTGGTAATCTTGGCGATGCAGAAACCGTCAGAATTTCTTCTTATTTCGAAGATCATTTGTAAAGCGTACATCGGTTGAACGATGGCGCCGACTAGCAAATCGGAGAGCGCTAGGCTACAAAGAAGCGTGTTTGACGGCGTTCGGAGCGAACGAGTTCTTTTCACGGCCATAATAACTAGAATATTGCCCGCTGTCGACGTGACAGAGGTCAGCAAGTTCACTAAAATGAGGATAACGTTAGTTATAAAAGTTTCCCTTGTGTGGCTCCATTCTTCTTCCAGATGATAGCACTGTATCTTGATTGTTTGCGCTTCGACGGACGGAGAACTCATCGTGGCGTTTTGCATGACGGAAATGTTTACTTGTGGCGCGTGCGTCTTCTTATTCGAACAGCTTACGTCGCTGATGAAATCAAATGTTACCCATGCCTTCTGAATGTAAATGGATATCAAAACAGCGACGGAAGCGCGGAAATCCTATCTCCTTACATGTAAACGAGACGAGAACTTACTCAACTTTCAGATGAAATTTATGACTGTTCTTGTCATGAAAGATTTCGAAAGTGCTGAATTTGTCGGCTGGGGGGGCAAGTTTCGGATTCTTAGGTAACTGCTAGCTAATTTCTATTGCTTATAATCGTAGCCGCTTTGCTGAATCCCCAGAGGTGTGACTGTGTTTCTTTTTGACACCAAACGGCGACAGATAAAAACATCCTTGCCAGACTGATGTGATCTTTGTTCTTTGAGGGAAAGTTCCGGCTTCAGAATTTCTTTCGAAACCAATCACTATATTTTACAAGACGTTTTTATACTAATCTGATCAAAGGTTCCTACCTTTTAAAGTACCAAATGCACTTTACGTGTCCCAGATGGTTTTGAAATGCACCTCGTTGGAGTTCTTTCGTTATGACGATGATGATATAAGTAGGGGGCTTGAAGTAGTTCAATTTCCGAAGTTTTGTGTTTTTAAAAAGGCAGAGTCCTTCAGAGGCACGTTTTTCCAGAAGTTTCCTCGTCATCGAACCAAATGCTTTGCAGTAATTTGTCCGGTTGGTGCTAAAATGCTGGTCGTAGAAATTCCCTCTGCGATAAATCACGTTTTTAATAGTTTAGCTGGGATTCCGTTTTTAGGCATGTTATGAAAAAAGGACGAGTCCTTCAAGAATGAGTTTCGCTTGAGTTGAAAAGTAAGTATGGAAATGAATATCACCGCGGAGTCAAGTTTAGATTAAGTGTATTTCTTATTTGCTTTGGCTATTCATCAACTTTTACGCTGAACAAACATTGCCATAAGTCTGTGGCAGTTTCGATAGCGAGATGCTTATCAAGCCGGTAATAAAACCTTCTCTGTTTCAACAATTGTCACTCGTTCTCTTTTGCCTTCGAGTTGTTTTTACTTCTTGCGGTGCACCTGGCTATGCTGCGTGATGTATTTTGACTTACAAGGCGGTAATTAGATTTGTCAGCAAACGCAAAGAGCGGGTAATGCGGGCTAAAGACACGCGCGTTTGAGAAATATATCTAATTTTTTGTCTTTCTTCTATTTATTTTGTATTAATCTCCTTCTAATCGTTTTTGCTAGATTAAATGTTGTTCTTTGTCACAGCCTCCATGTTTACTTTTACTGAAGACAAAGGGCCAGCAGACTTCCACGAAAGAATTTCGTTCCAATAGTGTTACTTGTCAAAATTTCAATCGGGCAGTCTCTAATATCAACGGTACAATATGTGTTTTTAATTTATGGATTTATGATTCATACTAACCTGGGGCTATCTTCTTCGTGCCGATCGAAAGTGATGTGAATATTATGATTGTCCAAAAAGCAATAGATTGGCTGCATTATTTATTCATGGCGTAACTCCAAATAAAAACTAAATATTACGAAATGAAAGTGGAAATACTTAAAACTTGGTCACGTTGCAATTTTGGCTTTCCCTTACGTCCCAATTTTGCACTAAAGAACACTAAAAGTAATATGTCTAGCGTCTCAGCTGAACAAGCTTTATGCCGCGATAAAAAATTCAAAAATGAATGCTCATATTTTCGCTCCATCCCCCGCTCATGTCAGACAATTTTTTTGGAAAATCTTTCGTAAGCGTTTGATGCTCTTCTTGAAAAGGCAAACATGCACGAGTGGTTTGGATAAAGAAGGCCAATGTTTGAGAAATAAAGAAAAGACAAAAAAAAGCAAAATAATTAAAAACACTCCAAGTCGAAATGAATGCTTCTCCGTATATTTCAATTACATTATGACCGTCCTTAGTTTTAGTTTTTTCCTTTTATTCTATGTCTTTTCTTCATTTTTTAAGTTCTTGAGAGTTTCCATGTCCCTCTTTTTTTCCTACCAAAAAGTCCCTTTTGTTTGGGTTTCCTGTTATTTGAAAGTTAAATCGTCTTTAATGGCTTCAATACCGTGTGTCGATCACGAACGCACTTTCCCCTTTTTTGCATTTCTAGGCACGCGTGACCAATTTAGCCGCCTGCTTCATGACTCGGGCTTAGTTTCAAGCTCCAGCAGCGATGACACGGTCAATTACTTTTCTGGAAACATGGAACTGGTTAAGGTAAGGAAGTTGTGTTGGCACAGTTTTTTGATTTATCAATTCCCATCTACGAGAGAAATATCCGTGTGAAAATTAACGTTGACGACAACTTGACAGCGACGCGTTTCCGCAATAAAATTTGGCAAGCAATCATAAGTTTTTCTTGTAACTATGAATTTTTCATTATAATATATAACATATGTCCTCTTTACGCTAATAGATAGTCACGTATGGAATTTTTACCTTAAATGAGAAGTAGGTCGACTTGATAATAATTTGACCATGTGCAGAAGAAAACTGTTTTGATAGCAGATTTGAACCGTTTTTGAGAAATGCCTGAATTTGTCCTCGGAAACATTCCTGTCGCTTTTCTATTCGTTTCTTATTTATTTAAGCTAGAAATAGTTTGTATCAGATCAAATTGTAAATTTCAAAGCTGGTTACTCATCTAAAAGCAAAATTAGTTGAGGTGGAAAATGTGCTGACTAGTATTCTGACTATCTAGCGTTTGTTCGTTAATTACCTCAAAAAGGATATCTTCAATTCATTTTTTTTTTCATTTTTTTTTTCTTGAAACTGACTGCTCTGTGCCACGTTTGCGGCGAGTGAAGAGGAGCGAAGACGATAAGCGGGCGCTTAAAAACGGTGGGGTGCGGCTGTGCCCTCCGGCAAAAGTTTCGCTTGTCAGTCTGGAAGGAAGAATTTCCAAATGCTGGTCAAGTTTCCAGAGTGCAAAAAAAAATTTGCAATTTATTCAAGGAAAATAAGAGAAAAAAACCGTCGAATTCTTTACATTTTGGTATAATTTTCAATCAGTGTAGTTTCATGGAAATTAACTCTCTTGAACCTACTGAAAGTATGTATATCCGCTTAAATTCTTCGTACGTAGGCGATTTTATGCGCCGGTTTGTTCCCCAATGCTGTTAAAGTTGGTCTTGCCTTGGAGTCAAAAGGTAGAGGAGGAAAGAGGCGAGTCAGAGTTGGTTTTCGAACCAAGTAAGTGGAGCCTCCCCTAATCAAGCTAATTTTCAATTACAAATGTTCCTTAAAAAGGTTTTCCTTGTAGAGTTGACATCTCCTCGCCTTTTTTTAAAGCCTTTTCACAGGCTACATGAAAACATAGGAAAAAAGCCTTTTCCACGCGTTCAGTTAATAAAAAGAAGCGCGATAGTCGCGGAGGACCGAAAAAATCGAGTGAGGCTGGGTCTGGGGGCGTAATGATGCGACCCAAGCCTCTCTCCTTTTCCCTCTGTAGCTACAAAATTGCACCGTTTACTATTTCGCTATTTTTTTTTCTAACTGAACGCCTGGAATAGGCTAATACCGTAGTGAGTGTTTTCAAATTTATCTGGGAAGTCGAATGAGCCTGGTACCCCCAAACTGCGTTTGTGTGGTCTTCCCCTTACCATTAGCAGAGTAAAACCCAAATTTGGTGGTAATTTTTGTGGTATTTTTTTATTTCTTTGTAGATCTGATGGAAGAGTCGTATTGCATCCTTCCTCGGTAAATTCTGACGAGAAACAATTTCCTAGCCAGTGGCTTGTGTACCATGACAAAGTAAGGGAAAATTTTGTTGTCTTAACCATGCAACATCTTGTACTTGACGTGCTAATAAAAATGACGTCGTGTCGAGTCGCCGTTTCCCGCTTTTGACAGAAGTTGCTACCACAGCGATTTTTTAAAGAGAGTGGAGAAGTATACGAATGAAATGTTTAGAAACATTCTGCACATCCTCGTCGGCCTTTGGTTCTCAAATGTTGATTTTTTTCGTAGGTGAAGTCCTCCCAAGTGTTTATCCGTGACAGTAGTATGGTCCATCCTGTTGCTTTGATCTGTTTCTCTGGAAAGGACGTAAGCGAAATTCATCAAGGTAATATAGTTATTCAATGCTTCATTCACATCACTAATAATTCCTCAGTATCATCCACATCTCCAATCTGTTTTTTCTTGATTCAAGGCTACCGACTTCATGCATTTTTTTTTTTAATTAATTGACGGTGTTGTCAAGTTCACTTCGCTCTCTGATTGGTCCGCTAGTTTTTTGTTGATTAATGGAGCGTTTGCGAAGTTTCAACCATCTAATTTAGAGGAACTTGTACTCTTAAATGATCCATGAGACGTTTGTTGGTAGCGTTATTTGCTATGCGGCATTGTTCTGAATCACCATTAAGGTCACTTTAGCTCTGATTTCACGATGCTCAAGTGTTGGCCTTGAGACACAGATTTTAGGAAGGATTAAATCCTACTTCGATTGTATTTCAGAGCACGGCCCTTCAGCACAGCAGCCCCGTGTTACACTGGTGGTGGATGGGGACCACTGGATGGCGTTTTACTGTACGCCAAGGCTGGCCCGAGTGCTGCAGTCCATTAGACGGGAGATAAACAAGATGATGGCTTGTAGTCTTTCAGCTGCAGTTACAGATGACGCGCTGTTTTACTACCACGGCAAGTTGATGGAGACTGTGGCCTTGTTGCTTACCCTGCCAGTACAGAAACCTCTCTCATCTTCCCCTTGGTAGCAATGACTTTTGTGAATGCTGAGGTCACGGTGATACCGTCAGTAGTGCTCCAAAGAACTCGAGACGTTTGATAGTGCAGCTCAAGCATAGTTATTTTCAAATCGCCAGACGAGTAACACTGAGCTGCGCAAACCGGCACTTTAACGATAGAACCAGAAACATCGTCATACAATCTCTGTAAGGGTATGATTCCATTGACCCCGACAATTAATCTCGTAAGATTTTCTCAGAATGGAAAGTACACGTAGTGTTATACATCAGTATGGAAACTTATCATCTTATTTTTTGGTATTTTGTAGAATCAGATCTTTATTTCCTTTATCCAATGAAGATTAGATTAGAAGTATAATCCTTGGGCCGATGAATTGGGGTTTAAGAAGCTCTTTTGAGTTTGCCAAACTTAAAATACCTTGAATATATCTCTGGCTTTTTTTGTTGTTCCCAATAAAAACAACAGGTTAGAAAAAGAGCCATAAATATCAGAGTTACTTCGTGAGAGTTTCGTCACCAGTCCATAGTCCCTTTGCATTCGGTTTACCAAGCTATCCTAATTCCTGCCTGGTTCATTTTTGCCGTTTTATAAATTTCACTCTTAATCAATAAAAGGTGCCTCTTCACACGAGTTCACTGCCTCCGGTGATGTCCTAAATCAATCCTGTGGGAT